GACGGGGTTTCACCATGTTGACCAGGATGGTCTCGATCTCTTGACCTCGTGATCCACCCGCCTCGGCCTCCCAAAGTGCTGGGATTACAGGCTTGAGCCACCGCGCCCGGCCTCTCCTTACTTTTTTTAATAGAACTACTTTGAAGGGAAAGGTCATCCACACTTAGCCACAGGCTGCTGAAGATCTGAATTAGTTGTGATTTCCCTGTCACCTGTTTCCATATGAACCCAGTTATTAGTCACCCATGAATAAAGAGATGGAGTGACAGAAGTTGAGTTTAGAGCATAGGATTTATGAGCATGGCCTCTAGAGCCAGGTGTGGCTATGCTGTGCTGGCTAACTGGTTAAATTACTTTACCTCTAGCTGCCTCAGCTGCCTCATCTGTAAAAACAGGCGTACCTCATGGGATGGTGCTGTGTATCAAGTGAATTATTTTTACATAGCGCTTAGAATACTGCCCAGTGCATATTAAAGCTCAGTGCAGAGAACCATTCTTAGTAGTGGAGTTCATTGATTCTAAGATACAAATATTTTCGTTTTTTAATATCTCTGAAATCAGAATGTGTATTTCAGTGAATTGGTGTCATAGTTTAATTGGCAGTGCTTCTTTCTTAGTATCTCATGATATAATGATTCATCTTATCAGTGGCATCTTATATTTAGGGGATATAGTATTATTGTTCTAGTCATAATTTTGTTACTTCTGCAAAGTTGAAGTGAATTATGTGTAAGACTTCCTCTAAAAAATTCTATGGGCTCAGCCCATAGAAAGTCAGCAGCCTCTTGACTTTGAATTTTCCTGATCCCAAATTAATGTGGTGGTTGCGCCCCCAAAGAATCTTAAGACAACAGAAGTTTCCTTTCCAATTAGCTAGAAAAGCAGTTATGTGTGTATGGTTAAGGAAAGAGTGTGCTTATGAATAGCTTTGTCTGCAGAGAAAATGTTAGTCACTGTCAGCCTATGAAGGGACATTTCTGTGTCTTTAGATATAGCTTGTATAAGTGTTTCCTAGTTATAAATGCCCCACTTCCAAAATTTCTGTGTTTTTTTTAAGGGGCTATATGGAACGTTAAGCTATTTTAACATAGGAACAATTTGAAGAGTGGTAATTAATTTCACAGTAGAATGGGATTAGTCCTATAAATCCTAGCCATCATGTAAGTGAAACCAAGTTGTATTTCTGTGGGGGCACCATGAAATCCATTCAGCTCTAATATAGGGACCTTGTTTATTTTCTTGTGTATAGGCCACAGAGCACTTCTGAGGCTGTACTGGCAAAAGGGATGGGAGGAGGATCCCACATGTACTGAGGACAGCTAGACTGAAATTAAGACAGTGATAAAACCCCCAAAAGTACTGTATTTTCCTTTGAGAAGGTTAGCATCAATTGGAGTGGAATTTTAAATTTCTTTTTTTTTTGGATGCCTAGAGAGAGTTGGCTTGGTTTATAGGCCAGGTGGTTTTCATTCAATGTAAATACAAAACAAAACAAAACAAACATGTCTATCCCTAAGAATGTAGTAAGAACAAAAATATTGAAATGAAAATTAATCACGTTTGGGTAGTTCACTCACATCTTTGTATGAATTAACTTTGAGACAACTTCATCTTACACAGTACACCTTCTTTTGAAATACTTACAGATGATATTTCAATTGTGCTTTGCTTTAAAATTTTTCATATGTTGGTTTTTACTTTAATTACAGATTGCTCCAGTTGTGTCAGCGAACTATGGCTCTTCCTGTAGGACGAGGAATGTTTACTTTGTTTTCATACCATCCTGTTCCAACAGAGCCGTTGCCTATTCCTAAATTGAATCTGACTGGTATGTTAAATTCTGGGCTCAATGAGAAAGGAAACCGGTTACATACATGCATTAAGTGGAGTTCTTTAAATTAGTTAAAACAAAAGAAAAGTTCCCTCCATTCCCAGTGATTTTAAATACTCCTAATAGCTGCTATAGTGGTTATCAAAGCCCAAATATCACATCAAACTAAACCTTGAGAGAAGTAGAATATAGCCATTACTTAGTCTTGCTTTTTAATGATTTCAAGATATAAAAAGTCACTTGGAGAAGTTCAGAAAGATATGATTGATAATGATGAGGCTATTGAATTGTAAATAATCTTAAGTATAAGATGTAAAAATATTTGGTCTTAAAATGTCTTATGTCATAGTTTGAACAGATGATCACTGTATAAATCAAGAAATATACTAAGCAAAAAGAAAAAATGGTTACTTACAGTACTCCCACTCTTCTGCATCACTCCTGTTAACATTTTAGTATATATGTTTCCCAATTTTATTTCCACATATTTATAATTTTATGTCTGTTTAATTATGAAAATTTAAATCTATTTTAGATATTTTTCTTAAAATTTACAGTGAAGATCTTTTTATATTTAGCAAATAACTATATGTTTACAATTGTATGTATGGTATACATGTGTTTTTAATTGATACATTCATTTTTATTTGCTTCAGAGTGTTTCATTCAGTGAATATACCATAGTTCATAGAAGCAGCCTGGTATTGTTGGAAATTACAGTTTTTTGGTATTATAAACATTGTTGGGGCATATTTGTCCTATGTATTTAGGCTAAATGCTTAGAAGTAGAACTCTTAGGACAGCAAGATGAATGGTTTTAAGGCTTTGATGTAACATGTCAAATTGCCTTTCTGGTCGGCATAAGTTTTTACTTCTACCATATACAACTGTAGTTATAGTCTTGATTACAATGGGTTTTATAGTGCATGTCCACCTAATGCTGATTTGAATATGTTCTAAAGGTGACAATTGCGTAATTGAAATTATCATTGAAAATCTATTATAGTATATATAGTTTTGTGAGACCTGTACAAAATGTACGTATGATGCATGTAGTAGTGTATAGTATATATAGTGGTACATAATATATAATGTAATATATATTGTAGTATATATGCAAGCATAATTGTATATTTTAGATTGCATAGTTTAAACAATCCAGAGTTCCACTCAGATTTGTGAAAAGCTTGTGCTTTGAGTAGCATGCAGGAAATGAGATTGACTAAGTGAAGAACTTATTCCCATCTCTGTATCATGCTTATTTAGAGCCCTAATCTCATTGAGGGACATTGTGAGCAGAGTTGCTTTTAATATTTAAATTGTTCTTGGAGGTAAAGCACCTATGACAAAATCTTAACAATGATTGATTCTAGATGGAAGGCATGGTATATAGATGTTCATTTTAGTAGTCTTTCCTGCTGTTTATATGAAAGATTTCATATAATAAGTGTGGGTTAAAAGGAAAATCTCATGCAAAATTGGCAGTTGTTAAAATGTATTCAATCTGGGTGATTTAGTACTCAAATGATACCTGGTGGGCTTAAAAAATACATACATGCATCTTTTTTTCTGAATACATTGAATTGAATTTTCATGATTTAAAATGTGCTTATGACATTAATATTTTATTCTTTTAGTCATTCTGGTAGGCCAAAAGGAAAGGTTATCCTGTTAATTTAGAAAAAAATATTTTCTTAAATAGTTGCTTAACCCACACTGATGTGACCTGTTGTACTTTTGTATGTTCTCATTGGACAAAATTTGCCTTACCCTTTGCATTTTATTTTCTCTCGTGTATAAACGTTATGTCTTATGCATATGATGAATGAATATTGTAGAAAGTTTACTCAGTTTTTCATATGGATATGACTGCCTTCTTTGAGAAAGTGCAAATGTAACTTACGAACTTATTACTCATTGTGGTGCTAACACTGGCGGTTGAGTTAGCTTTTAGGCACAGAAAGCATATAGTAAAGACAAGTCTTACTTTGTGCTTTGTGCACATATGTATACATACTACAAATAAGACACTGTTTAAAATTTATTTTACGTCTTAGAACTCTTTTAAAATTATATTTTCAAAGCTCCAGTGAACTGGATAACTTTATACAGTAATTAAAATATTTATTTTAATTATTTTATCTATGATAAGATAATATTCAAAATGTATATTAAAAAATTCAATATTTGCTGTATACAATGTAGGTTGAAAAGAATCAAGAAAAAATTCGTAGAGAACATATAGCATTATGAACATACAATTTACATTGGTCTTAAATAAATGAACCATAAAATTAAATTTAGTGAATGCTCTTTTGAAGTTCGCTGGATGACTCAAGTCTATAAAAGGATGCTTTTTACAAAGCTATTGCATTTTTAACAGTAGCATATAATTAGATGTCTATATTTGTGTGTGTGTGTGTGTGTGTGTGTGTGTATATATGTGGGGCGGGCATTTATAGGTAAGAGCTATAGCTGATTTATAAAGGTTCTTGTTTCTTTTTTTTCTCTTTTCGAGATGGAGTCTCTGTTTGCTGCCCAGGTTGGAGTGCAGTGGCACGATCTTGGCTCACTGCAACCTCCGCCTCCCGGGTTCAAATGATTCTCATGCCTCAGCCTCCCAAGTAGCTGGGACTGTAGGCACGCACCACCAGGCCTGGTTTTTGTTTCTTCTTCAGATGCCATTTTTCCTTAATGTCCAGGGAATCCAGGGAAAAATATAGGATAGAACATTTGAAATTAACACCAATGTTATCAGTCAGATGTTGGGATTTATAACTTGTATAGTTTAATGGTGATGTTAGTCTTCATTTTGGTTTCTAATTAAGCTCCCTACTGTTTGAAAGATTTCAAAGCAGTGATTATCCTAATCATATCTGTATAAAATTAAATTGGCATCAGTTATCTTATTGTATAGCCCCATACCCCCATACATTTTAACAAAAAGGACAGTGAACTGTTTAGACAATGAGAAGGTTTTTCCAGTTTGCATTAAGTTTGACTCACATGTATAAAAGTTTTAAGCGATTATAGAGACCTATATAACCCCAGGCATTTTGTTTGATTCACATGTATAAAAGTTTTAAGTGATTATAGAGACCTGTAACCCCAGGCATTTTGGGGTTAATGGTTTTGAATGTAGAAAATGTAAGTAATCTTCTTGTCAAAGATCTAAATTTAACAATCTTGGTTTTGTGAATTTTCATTTTCTCAATGTTAAATTTTGTTTGGCTGGATAGGGCGTGCCCCTCCTCGGAACACAACAGTAGACCTTAATAGTGGAAACATCGACGTGCCTCCCAACATGACAAGCTGGGCCAGTTTCCATAATGGCGTGGCTGCTGGCCTGAAGATAGCTCCTGCCTCCCAGATCGACTCAGCTTGGATTGTTTACAATAAGCCCAAGCATGCTGAGCTGGCCAATGAGTATGCTGGCTTTCTCATGGCTCTGGGTCTGAATGGGCACCTTACCAAGCTGGCGACTCTCAATATCCATGACTACTTGACCAAGGTGAGAACCTGTGCTCCCGCTGCCTGGCTTTGTGCCTCACCTGACTATTGTAGTAGCTCTTGATTGCTGTATTTGTTCTTCTTTCTTCATTCTTGTACTGCTAAGTCCATTTGTCTCACAGTACATAGAATAATCTTTCTAAAGTGTAAATCAGAATATGTCACTTCCCTGGTCAAAGCCATTTAATTAATGATCTCTCATTACTCTTTTTTTTTTTTATTCTCTGAGTAAGGCAGAGAAGAATGTAATGAGTGATGGAAAAGCTCTCAACAGCGAGAGAGGGGACCCGAAGGTGGGTCGCCAGCCACGAGGCTGAGTCTAGGGGTTTTTATGGGCTTGGAATGGGAAAGTGCATGCTGATTGGTTTGTGAGTATGCTTGAAAAAGCACCATCTAGAGACTGGGGAAGGGTAGGTATATGTAAGTAGGTGAAGGATAAGGACCAATTAGGAGAGAGTGTGCCAAACAGGAATGGGAGCTCTCAATTCAGTCCATGGATTTATCCACAACTTGTAGCTTGGTTTTCAGGCTTTCGACTGTCCTTGGCTCAAAAGTTGAGTTTCACTTGAGAATGTACCTGCCTCCTATTCCTATCAATCCCAGCTCTAAAAAGGTACATCTAACTGCCATTAGGATCAGTGTGATGACAGTTCTAACTGCTTCATACTGACAGGGGTTGTTGTTTTGGGAAACAGCAGTCAGGTCTCTCTTAGAGACCTATATAAGGGTTCCTGATAAAAGGGAGCCATCAACCAGGGTTCCATTTGCATGACCATTTGGAGTTTGATGGCATCTAGGCGAGAAAAAACAAATTTCACAAGGAGGTTAAGTACCGAAAGGCTTCGGAATACCTATCAAGGTAAATTTTCGTAGATTTCCTTTTATCTGCCTTAAATCTTGTAAAGAAAAGGGGACTTGTACATTGATAGGACCATATTCACTAGGTATTTCCTGTAAAGGAAGAAGTGAAGCTGGAGAGCATCCAGATTGAGCTCTTCTAACAGAATGAATGTCTAAAAGGGGGCCTGGGTAAGGGGAATAAGATGATCCAAGAGGAGCTGGGACCTGTGCTGGTGCGGGGGCCTCTGCCTCCTTTTCTAAGGAGGCAGACTGGTTTTTACCCTCTGTCTGGTTTAACTCTTCCTTGCTGGATATCACTGCTGTAAGTACAGGGTTGATTCAACATTGCTGACAGAGCTTGGGGTTACCCCGCAGGACAAAAGAGGCCTGTACTTATGGAATTTTGGACCATGTTCCTTCTCTGCAGTAGAAGAGATCTAGCTATAGGATAGTATTATAATTAATATTTCCCCCAGCTGGCTATGTCTCCCCCATCTTCCAACTTCTAGCTGGGCCAAGCCTTGGTACTAATAAATACCAGGCATTTTTTTTTTTCAGAGTCTGAGGATCAAAGGAGTCCCAATGTCTCAAGATGCACTTAAGAGGAGTGCAGCCTACCCATCTAGAAAGAGAGAGGCGAGAAAAAGGCATCCTTAGTCTTTCCCTCTGCTGTCCTACAGTCCAGGGCGACTCTCAGGCTTGCCTTGGTCATGATTGTGCGCTCGACTGCTATTCATGACCGGGGGAGGATCAAGCCAGCAGGAGTAGTTGTGTTCACCTGCGCTCAGCCTTGACCCTCCTTGTCGACTGCTTTGATTTCTCTGTCTGAATTCTGTATGAGCTCAAGACTAAGATGAGTCCAGGGGGTCCCTGCATATTATTTGTCTATAATTCTCATTTGGCTGACAGTTTATTTAGCCTCATCAGGCACAGCCCAGCATCCTGCCCTGAAAAGCAGTTTGTCAAACAGGCACATAACTAAGCAACATTTCTCAGAAGAGCAGTAGAGAAAACATGATAGGAAAGATTGGAAGTCTTTGTCTGACACCTGAATAGGCTGTCGGGGACTTCGGATAACACCAAGTTGTACCTTTGGCCAGATACCTTTAGTTGCCCCAGGACCTTATTCCAATCCCACACAATGGCTGAACTTCTGTGAAGGGAAACTGGTTTAGAACAAGGCCAACATCCCCAACATCATAGGGCAAAGGGGGATCGACCCTTTGGAATATACATTCCAAGAGCTGGTGTCACCCTGTTCACTTCTCCAGCCCTACTTGGTACCACTGTTCTTTTTCTTTTTTTTTGAGATGGAGTTTCACTCTGTCACCTAGGCTGAAATGCAGTGGCACGATCTTGTCTCACCGCAACCTCCACCTCCCAAGTTCAAGTGATTCTCCTGCCTCAGCCTCCTGAGTAGCTGGGATTACAGGTGTGCGCTACCACACCCGACTAATTTTTGTATTTTTAGTGGAGACGGGGTTTCACCATGTTGTTCAGGCTGGTCTTGAACTTCTGACCTCAGGTGATCCGCCCACCTCGGCCTCCCAAAGTGCTGGGATTACAGGCGTGGGCCTTTGCAGCCAGCCCCCCTCCTCTTCTTGCTCCCCACACTCCAACCATACAGATTGGCTTTTTTAGCTCCCTGGAAAACTCAACTCTTTCACTTCACAGCCTTATTTTTAAAAGAATCTTCATTTATATAAATATATAAAATTCACATACTATACAATTCACTGTTTAAAGTGTATAGTGTATTGCTTTTTAGTATATTCACAGAGTTGTGCATCCATCACCACTGTTAATTTTAGAACATTTCGTCATACCGTAAGTGAACCTTGTACCCACCACTAGCAGTGACTCCCTTTCCTCTACCCCACTCCCCACCTTCACTTCATTTCCTTCCAACCACTAATCTACTTTCCATCTCTATGGGTGTGCCTTTTCTGGACCTTTCATATAAATGGAGCCATACAAAATGTGGTCTTTTAGGATGGGCTTCTTTCACTTAGTCTGATGATTTCAGTGTTCATCCATGTTGTGCCATCTATCAGCAATTCATCCTCTTTATTGTTGAATAAATATTTTATGAATGTACATTTTATTTATTCATAAGTTGGTGGATATTTGGATTATTTGTACTTCTTAGCTATTATGAATAATACTGCTATGAACATTTGTATACATATTTTTGTGTGGGTGTATGTTTTCATTACTCTTGGGCACATACTTAGGAGTGGAATTACTAGGTTATATGGCAACTCTAACTTTTTGAGGAACTGTAAACTGTTTTCCAGAATGACTGCACCATTTTACAACCCCATCAGTGATACATGAGAGTTCCAATCTCTCCATATTTTTGCCAACACTTGTTATATTGTGTTGCGTCCAGCCTCATTCTTTTGCATGTGTCTTTCCACTTGTCCCAGCACTGTTTTTTTGAAGACTGTCCTTTACCTATTGAATTGTCTTGGCACCCTTGTGGTCAGTTGATGTTAATGTGGGGGTTTATTTCTGAGTTACCTCTGAGCCGTTTATTTACTTGCTGTTTTAGCACCTGAAACAGTCTTCCTCACCTTCTAAACTTGAGTGTCCCCCTTTCTGCCACTTTTCCTGGCTAATGTATTTTCATCCTTCAGGTCCTAACATAAATTTCTTTGTATAATCTTTTTTTTTTTTTTTTTTTTTTTAATTGAGATAGAGTTTCGCTCTTGTTACCCAGGGTGGAGTGCAATAGTGCGATCTCGGCTTACCGCAACCTCCGCCTCCTGGGTTCAGGCAATTCTCCTGCCTCAGCTTCCTTAGTAGCTGGGATTACAGGCATGTGCCACCATGCCCAGCTAATTTTTTGTATTTTTAGTAGAGACGGGGTTTCACCATGTTGACCAGGATGGTCTCGATCTCTTGACCTCGTGATCCACCCGCCTTGGCCTCCCAAAGTGCTGGGATTACAGGCTTGAGCCACCGCGCCCGGCCTTCTTTGTATAATCTTTAGAGATTTCATCCCTAATAATCCTCTAGTCCCTCCCAATCTAAATTAAGCCATTTTAAAATACTCTTTCGTAGTACTTTGTACTTTATTATTGTATGACTTTTTAATAATGTATTTGTTTATATTTTTTAATTTAACACTTTTTTTCCTATTAAGGCATTAAGTCCATGAGAGCAAGGACCATGTTTGTATAGTTTACCACTACATTCTCAGTGCCTCTCACCATGACTGTCAACATAAAGGTACTTACTGAAAGTGGCAAGCAGTATTTTATTTTACATGATGTATTTGTTTTGTTTCTATCTTAGGGCCATGAAATGACAAGCATTGGACTGCTGCTTGGTGTTTCTGCTGCAAAACTAGGCACTATGGATATGTCTATTACTCGACTTCTTAGCATTCACATTCCTGCTCTCTTACCCCCAACATCCACAGAGCTGGATGTTCCTCACAATGTTCAAGTGGCTGCAGTGGTTGGCATTGGCCTGGTATATCAAGGGACAGCTCACAGACATACTGCTGAAGTCCTGTTGGCTGAGATAGGTATGGGATAAATAATGCTGAATCTTCATAGGCATGTGCTTTCCACTCCACATGAACCTAAGTAAAAATGATAGTAAAATGATAAGAATTAAGGAAAGACCAGTAGCTTTTTTGAGCACAGAATGATCTAGTACTAATTAAAAGAAAAAACCTCTAAGTAATGTTATCCAAGGCTAATGTAAACTGCAGGTTATTAGCCTCCATGTTTATTTGCTAGCTCATTCCTAAATTCCAGTGGTCACATTTAATGAGGTACCTGTGGTTTTAATCACATATGAGAGTATGCTGTTATCCTGCTATGTCTTTACCAGCAGTGTCCAGCAGCGGCCTGCACTTAAAACTCAGAATAGATTGTTTTGGTTCCTAATATCACAGTGTTTACTCTGTTGGATAATAGCGCTACTCCTGCTTTCCTCCTTTCCATGCTGGTGGGTATGTTGGTGATTGAATTTGGAAATGGTAAGGTGCACACCCTTTGGTGAACATTTTCTCTGGTTTTTATTGGGTCCAAACTTTATGGAAGTCTGTATTATGTGTTGTCATCTTTTTCTGCCAAATGGAATGTTATTGGTATGCTCAGCAATTTAGTTACATACTTACATGTCCTATTCAAGATCTTTTCTATATGTATTTCTGAATATGTTGTTAAAGATGTATTATTCTTTAGTGTAATTGTATCAGATAGCTATTGCCACAGTGATGCTACATACAAACAGACATAACATTGGCCCAGGCAGCTCTGCTTTAAGCTGTAGATATGCAGGCCGGCTGCTCTGCTGCTGTTCTGCCTCACCTGCCTTATTCTGGGACCCAGGCTGGAGGGTGTGTTTCTCTCGTGGTGTTGACAGAAACCTAAGAGAGAACCAGTGAAGATTGGGACCCATAATTTAGTCTACTGTAATGGTAAATGAAATTATTCACAAAAGTTGTAATGTTTCTCCTATCAAAATACGTAGTAGCATAAGTTATAGATCTGAAAAACACTTATTCAGAAAATATTCAACAGTGGTTGTTAAAGCAGGTTCATCTGCAAAGTAGTTTACCATTCTTTGGCTATATCATGATGATGTCTAATGATGTCACTGCACAGTCACACAGCTGTGGCATACCTCTTTCATACGTATATAAAAGATTTCATTTTAAATTCATATGTGTATGCCTTTTTATGTAATTATTGTCATAATGTACATTAAAATTCTGTTTCTATAGATCATTGTTATAAATTATTTTAGAAATAAATTTTGTATAATATTGAGTTGATGGTCTATAAAATACCTAATTTATTTATTTTTTTTTTTACTTTTATAACTTTTTAGATTGTTTCTAATAATCTTTTGCTGTTTTGTATAAACATTACACTGATTACCTTTGCGTGATTTTTTTTTTTTTTCCTTAAAATTTTCATTATTTATTTATTTTTTTTGAGATGGTGTCTTGCCCTGTTGCCCAGGCTGGAGTGCAGTGGTGTGATCTCAGCTCACTGTAGCCTCTGCCTCCTGAATTCAAGCTATTCTTCTGCCTCAGCCTCCCAAGTAGTTGGGGTTACAGGTGTCTGCCACCACGCCTGACTAATTTTTATAGTTTTAGTAGAGGCAGGATTTCTCCATGTTGGCCAGGCTGGCCTCGAACTCCTGATCTCAAGTAATCTGTCCACTTCAGTCTCCCAAAGTGCTGGGATTACAGGCATGAGCCATCACGGCAACTCTTTTTTCTTTCTTTTTTTTTTTTAATTGTATTTTTTTCCTATAGGGATAAAATTTCGGGAATGTGAACATTTTTTCAGAGGGAAGGGTTTTAATACATAGTTCATTTTGTTGTTTTATGCAGGGTAGCATTAGAGTTATAGGGTGCTTTTTAGAAGTGTGAGTTTTGTATCCAGTCAAACTTCTAGGATTAATACACAAAAATTCTATCGTAGTAGGGCTTATTAATATATAGACTTGAAATAAGTGTCTAAACATAACATTTAGCAACTTAAGAACATAAGTGACATCCTTATTCACTACTATCATTTGAACATGTTTCACCACATGTGATGAGAGGATTTGAAAATAAAGAAAGCAAAATGCAAGAAATTTTTGTTGTTGTTGTTGTTGAGATGGAGTCTTGCTCTGTTGTCCAGGTTGGAGTGCAGTGACCTGATCTCAGCTCACTGCAACCTCCGCTTCCCAGGTTCAAGCAATTCTCCTCCCTCAGCGCCCTGAGTAGCTGGGATTACAGGCACCTGCCACCATGCCTGGCTAATTTTTGTATTTTTAGTAGAGACAGGCTTTCACCATATTAGCCAAGCTGGGCTTGAACTCCTGGCCTCAAGTGATCCACCTGTCTTGGCCTCTGAAGGTGCTGGGATTATAGGCATGAGGTACGACACCCAGTTGAAATTTTTTTTTTTTTAAGTAAAACTTTTTTTGAATACTCTTCCCTTTAAAATTTTTTTTCTACTAAGTAATTTTTTTGGTAAGACTGAAAGTTTCACAGTATTTCAATGTCATTGCTTATGAAGACTTAAAGTGGCAAATTAAAAAGATTATTTTGGGGCCTTTATTTTTTGGTAGGTGAACCTACAGTTGTGGACACCATTTATTATAGTGTTATAACTTTCCGAATGGAGTTATATTCCATTCGTATCTCCAGTGCAACTTGTAGAAAGTTAACTCTAAGAATTTTGTGAGTTGAGATTTTGAGAGGCTAGTTTGAACTGTGTTGCTTTTCTTTTTACAGGACGGCCTCCTGGTCCTGAAATGGAATACTGCACTGACAGAGAGTCATACTCCTTAGCGGCTGGCTTGGCCCTGGGCATGGTCTGCTTGGGGGTATGCATAGTCTGTGCCTTCCCCACCATATAGTAATAGACATATCCATAGTGTTGAGACAAATAACCTTGACACCTAAAGCTCAATACTGTCCCTAACTATGTCTTTTTGGATATTTTTCAAAGTACCAGATTTGCAAATGGAGAGAAACTGTAGTGAAGAGTAGGGTTTTAAGATTTCTTTCCTTCAGCTTACAGTGTTGATGAACAAACTAAGGGGGATGACTTTTTTTTTTAAAGAGTTCAACACATGCTGTGAATAAGTGACCACCTACTACAATTGAAAACAGAAACTAGTTTAAACATACATGATAGGGAGCCTTAAGAGTCTATAGTAACCTCTGGAAACAAACCCTAATCCTCTTTTGCCATAGTGATGATCACTGTCTATCACAGAATGTTGCCCCAGTAACATCAGCCTTGTGACAAAATGCAGTATCAGGCTGATCCATCTTTAACTCCATCTAAGAAGTGGGTACAGAATTACCAAAAACATTTCATTAAATAATTCTTTCACTTGAAATGTGGTTCCCCTTAAAAAGAACCCACCAATACGTTGTTATGGCCAAGATAAATGAGATAAAGTAAGTTAAATTGGAAGGAGTTTTTTCTTCTATGTGTTCTGGAAATCCACCTTGTGGTTTACTGTCTGTTGGGGCCTTGAATTCACATTGGCATATGAGGTAAAGAGGCTGGTGGTACAATGGAAGATAATCATACAGGGAATTGCAACTTGAATTCTGGTCCTAACTCATGAGTCGAGTCATTTAACTACATTAGTGTCTGTTGTTTAATCAGCTTATGGATTGTTGAGCCGGATGGCCATGTTTTATATATAGCCCTGCAACTTACTATAATAGCCGTATAACCTTGGGCTTAATCCCTGTGTGCCTCACTTTCCTTATTTACAAATAGTTTTTACTAGTAGCTATTTGATACGGCTCTTCGTTCATGTTAAATACACAAAATAGTGCCTGATATAGAGCATTCAATAAATTGCTATTTATTATCACAGTTATTTTTGTTGGAAAAGTTCTTAAGTACAATAATGAAAGTATTCAGGTATTTACAGTTCAGGTTTCAATTATATAACTAATACTTTCCTTTATTGTTAAATGTAACTCTGAAGCTCTTAGGTATTTTTAAGAGAGTACTTAAAATTGAACATACTTTATTAAAACTTTTATGAGAATTATTAATAGTTTGAGTATTTTCTCATGATTAATATTTGTTTTAAATTGGAAATTAAAAAACCCCCAAACTTGAAATACCCTGCTTTGAAATTAGTTCATTTTTATATTTGTCATGAGTATGTGTTATGAATCTTCCTCTGTAAGATTTCATTTGTCTGTTATTTTCTTTTTCCAGCATGGCAGCAATTTGATAGGTATGTCTGATCTCAATGTGCCTGAGCAGCTCTATCAGTACATGGTTGGAGGACATAGGCGCTTTCAAACAGGAATGCATAGGGAGAAACATAAATCTCCAAGTTATCAAATCAAAGTAAGTACACATCAGAGTAACAGATCAAAATCCTGGAAGCTAGGAAGTAAATTGCAAAATACTAGTGTTCATGCTAACATTGGTAAATATGTTAATTGTAAGCATAGTTATTATTCAGAGGAATTTTTTTTTTTTTTTTTTTTGAGACGG